TACATACATATATAGGCACCCACCCGACCAACGTACACGAAAATGCATCCGTTTTAGAAATTTTGGCAAAACTTTGGCGTATAAAACTATTGGGAACGGGTTGTGAAAAATTATCGCTCAAAAGTTTTTGCGGAGTGTTTTCGAAACGCTATCGACAAAGAAGCGAAAACGAAACTTATTTCGATCAGTTTCTCTATTAAGAAATTAGTGAAAATGGCAATGCATTCTCGGTACGTTGGCCGGGTGGGTATGTGTATATACAAATACAAAGCACATAGTACATAGTTGTAATGTTTATAAAAACTAGAAAATAGAAAATTTTTTACGTTTACGTATATCGTTTAGGTTTAAATAACGATGCATATTATGAACTCGTTCATCGTTGTCGTTATGAATGCTAAAAAATCTAGTTTAAAAATTCTGTATTGTGCAACTGCTATAAATAACATTAGGCTAAGTTTCTTAAAGCACACAACAATAATAAAAACCGCTTTTTTTTTAAATAGACACATTTGGAGATATAATTTCTTTAGTAAAATTACATATCTTCAGGTTCGGATATTTCCAGATCTGAGTCATCGAAGTCAATAATCTAAAACGAGTTGATATATAAAGGATTAAATTAGTTATGTACTATGTATGTTTGTATGAATCGTTCGTGTGTCTATCAACTTTAATATGACTTACCGTGCTATCCAGTGCTTTAAAATCAGAGATTCCAGTCAAGTCTTCCAAATATTTGGCAGTTTCAAAAGCTTTGAATAAAAATGCATTACCCTTTTCACGATACTCGGAAATTACTTTCTGAAAATAAGAGTTTATTTTAATGATTCAAAAATAAATGTTAACGCTAACCTCTGAACATGCAATGCACTGTGAAAACTTTTGTGTTGCCGGTAAAATGTTTTCATAATTGCATAGCTGGCCACGTATCGAATGCGGAATGACACCCAATCGGCCTTCGGGTACTTTGGTATTCGGCTGGCCGGTGGCACAATAATAGGCAGGCGCACGATCGCGCAGTGGATGCTGCAACAGCGATACCAACAATTCGACAGCATAGCTAGCAGCAATACATGATACACCTGGCCGTGTAACTGTACATTGCTGATCCAGTGTTCGGTCCTTGAGGGACTGAAAAATGGTAATTTATTAAATTCTTATTAGAAGGATTAAACAATTTATGTATATGTTTTGAGTTTCTTGACATTGAAAGAAGTTAATAAAATATGTGTGTTTGTTTGTAAATGTATAAGATGAACAGTTACTCATAAAAGTATTCGCTTTGGTGAATACCACTAATATTACCTTTAATGGAGCCAATACTGGGGTTTTCATTGTTCTTTACGGGTTTTTTAATATAACAAGTGCAATTTACAAAAACTTGCGTTGATATTTTGAAATTTTGTTGCTAACGGTCTCCCGCGTTTTATTTCATAAGAAATTCATACTTATATGAAAAAAAGTGCACAGTCCGTCACAAAAAAAAAAGAAATCTCAAAAATCTACGCGATTTTTTAGCCGTTTGAAACTTGCACTTAATTAGACTAAAATTGTATGGGCTATAAAACTGCATGCCTAAACATTTTCCAAAAATTCAGAATAAAAATTTTGAAAATTTGGAATTTTGAAATTTTGATCAAAATTTGTTGAATTTTCTTAAATTTTGTATAAAGTTTGAAACTGTGATTTACACGGTTTTGGTTAAAGCTTAGAGGATATTTTTATATAAAAAGAACAAACAAAATTTATCTCGAAAACATTACCCATATTTGAAGAAAATCAACACGTGGTCATTTGTTTGAGTCACTGTATATATATCTAAATATGTATCACAGTTTATCAGTGGATGATAAATTAAAAATTTCAAAATAGAGAGAGGGGCAACGCGCCGTACATGTTCATATGGATGTATGTATATATGTGCATATGTAACATTGCGAGTCTATTTTGAGTTAATAAATTGTTGAGCTGCGTTTGGAAAAGAGCACATGACAATTGTTTATATGACGTAAGAAAACAGGTTCACACACTACATACAAATGCAAACTAAATTGGAGCGATTGGCGCGCAGCCGGTTCCACATACGCAGTGGACATCTATACATACATACATACATACATACGTAGCTATGTACAAATTTGGCATGCATCTCCGTGCATTAAATTCAATGTATGTATAGTCAGAAGTAAAGATGAAATAAAAATCCACAAACAAATTTGTTTATGCATTTTACTGCGGCCCAGAGCACCTTGACTAGCGCACTGTTGATCGCAGCAGTTTTATTGGCGGCTCGTGGCAATAGCTAATAGGAAAATCAGACATGAAAGCTGGTGGGAAATCGCGAAAAAACTCGTAATTAAAAGTCTGTTTTATAGGAAATTTTCTAAGTGAAAGGTGATTAAGTATGGTGTACAAACGTTCGAAACAGCTGGGAAGTTGAGAAGCAACAATCGTGCCAGAACACTTGCTGGAAGAATGCTAACCGCAGCAAAAGCAACTGTGTGTGAGAGCAAAATAATCGCATAAATAAAAAAAATCAAACATAAAAAAAAAATAAAACACCACCACTGGCTCTGTATTAAAAGAAAACGAACAGTTGTTTATACAACGATTAGATAAAATACAGCGCCTACAATAATTACAACAATAAAAAGCAATCAGAGAGCAAAATGTACACCTTCCAAAGCGATTTACTACTCAGACTACTCACAATGTGATATCAACTGACAACCAAACAACACTACTATCTTTACCGTAGAAGTTAAACTTTAAAATATATGAATGTGTGCGCTGATAACAATCGTCATCGCTAACTTTTGCTAACAGTTGATTTTTGTCATTTGTTTAGTGCGGCTGAAATATTTTAAATTAGCAAAACGTGCGCGAGAATATTGTTATAGCACAATTAATTGGGTTGTAGAGTATAAATTAAATACTGAAATTACTTTTCGAATTGTTTAAAGCGCGTTATTTCTTTTCGTAAACAATGTTAACAGAATACGCGGGCAACTTAGCGCACCATTTGGAATTTGGACATGCCTTGGAAATTGTGGCGAAAACTATTGATGGAGCTTCACGGTAAGCAACAAAAAAGTACATACAGTAAGCTCTAATACATGGGCTTGTACATACACATATAGTACATAGGTGTGTGTATTTTAATGTTTTAAACAACTTGCGATTTTCTTTTGGATCTGGACACGTCGGTTTTTTTTTTGGTGTGGGTACAATCATATTTACATGTGTACATATGTATGTATGTACAAGCATATGTACATATTACTTACTATCTGAAAATAATTACAGGATAATGCACTGGAAATTTAACAATAAAACAATGTTACTTATCTAATTTTAGGAATACTCAATTTGTCAAAACCACTAATTGACGCATTTATTGATAGCGGTCATTTTGATACTGATAATTTTTTTCATGTAAACTTTTTATCACTATGACTAATATACATATACCCAGCAAGACACAATTTGCTCAAAACTTTCAGTTTAATTATAATAAATCTAAAATAATAATAAAATTTGGCGCTTATACATTTTTACG